CTTGGTTAAATAAATTAATCGAAAGGGCTTAACCAAGTTAGATGTGAGAGAAGTGAAATATATGTGGAGGCACTACAACGTAAATAAATTTCGGTTGAGCATTAGAAAATCGAAATGCTCAACTGTATTCAAATACAGTACATTTTACTCTTTCCAGTTTATCAAGGATGTGGAACATGCATGAAATGATTGCAGAAAATGGGACCTATCCGTTTATGGCACGCAGCTGTTCAGGTGCACTATGAACACTAAAAATGACTATTTTGAAAGTCTCATGCAATGTTGACATGAATAACTGTAGGGTTTGGTCTGTCGTTCAGTTTGCATCAATGAGAACAACACGGAGAGCCCTGTCCAAACCCATCAATCAGAATTACTGATATATAGGCCGCCAAAAGATTGTCATCAGGTATTTTGAACTTTTTGTTCTTTTCATATGTGGAATCGGTACTGAAGACCCCGAAAGTTTATCATACCAATTGTAGAAATATTTATTAATCTCCCAGTGAGCTCTGAATCCAAAAAGGGTAGGTTCACACGCATTTCGCCCAGTCCAAGTTAAAAAATAACAAATCTGGGAAAGAACGGTTATATATTTAATCAAAAAAGAAAATTAAGACAATTACCAAAACAATATTACACCTTCGAGTTTCTAATCACAACAATAAGTTCCGATACTGGAAGAATAAGTGCTTCCAGTTAGTTGCAACGAGCTGCTGCTAGAGTATCAAATCCAAAAATGGCTGTAGCCATATTAAGTATCAATTTTAAACAACACATATACAGTTCAGAAGGAAACATAGAAACTTCAATATCAGTACAAGATATAGAAATAATAACAAGATACAAATGATAAAATCCCAAAATTGGATCATATAAAGTACCAAAATGTCGAACAGAAAAAGTCAGTCAGATCATAACACAAATATATATACATGGAGGGATTTCCCAAAAACAAGGCCTTCAAAATAGATTCTACACCAATCGATCATATCGTTCTGCGATAAAATCTTCAACTTGTTTCGATGGTTGCCTCGAAGGACTTTCACCCTCACGACATTACTTGCACGAAGACCTAGATCATTTAAACTATCGATTCTTATCTACTTTGTCGATACACAACCCTCGTCTTCAAATTTCTGATGTCACTATATAGTACACATTTTCCAGTGTCTTCATATGACTAATTTACTACAACTAAGACGGTTGAGCGACTCTCCTTTCAGAATCTGATATCGTTCTCTTCCACTGATTGGTACGCACTAAGCTGGCAGTACAAACATGGTTCCGCAGGGTGTTGGGATGTACCATTTCATATCCCCATGTAGTGTGAGATACTTTTACTTCGGACTCACAATGTGAATATTAACACTCAAAGCAACAGGGATTTTAAGAATACCACATACACTCATATTATTGATTAATGGAGTGAACGCTTAAAGCATAACTTTTTATATTCAAAGCTAGAATACTTCATCAACTCGTTTAATGCATACTGCCAACTTATATTTGAATCCTGTAACAGTTCTACCAAGTAAAGACAAGTGTGGTTGAGAAACTGCCTAACGGACATTTATTGTATTCGATTACTTTAGGCTTCTGGCAGCTCAGCAGGAGCCTGCACGCTCATTTACGTCTTTGTTCTTACTAGGCTAGCAAAACCATGATGTTATAAGGTTGATGGTTGCTCAGACACCTGGATAAGAAAGTCCGAACAGAATAATGAAGACGCGCTGTTGCATGATTAGACGATTCCTGCCCATGGATGTGGCGCAGAGTAGTTCTCTTGTCTGTTTCCATCTGTCTAATTCTTACTTTGAAGGTTTTAATTCATAGGTGGTGCCGAAGGACAATGTTTTCTTCTGAGATTAGCGAGTTTAGGAATGTCTGTGTTGATGGCCGTAGGCCCACTTGAATTATAGGGAACGATATGGCCAATGAGTTGAAGGCTAGTCACGCGTTTATTACTCGATCCGGGTTATACTATCGTAATAACCAGGCTAGTTGCTAGGATGGACACTCCCAACAGGTAGCTGTATAAATGTGCATCTACAGGGAGGAACCACTCTGCAAGCGCCTGTCCATAACATGCAGTGGACTGATGTACGTCAGCCGTCACTGACCTTAACGGGGATTGGTGGACAACTTGATATTCATTGACTGGCATGCTGAATGACTTAAAAAGGACCCAACAAAATTTCATCGGCGTTATAGGTCGACTATTCGGAAACTGTTGAGAGAATTTATACGATACAACGCATTTACAGTTACATTATTTTCATCTGAAATGTATTTTGTGTATGAAGTAAACCGCGAGTTGTAATCGAGTAGCCACTTGTCTGAAGAGTAGCTACGAGAAGGGTGAATTTTCGGCCCTCTGTAGAGGATGAGTGTACAGTACAGTGAATTGCTTGGCTGAATGTTCCTTACTGAAAGTGATATACTTGGATTCAATATCTTGCAACCGTCTCGAGAAGGATGCTAAAGGTTGCCAGGTGTTGATTGATCATCGTTCTAAGACCCCTCTAGTTTCTGAGTCAGATAAGACCAGGGCGACATTGATGTGTGCCTTGGTGTCAGGGTGTGTCAGAGTGGTTGGCTTGGTGAAATATTCCTTCACTGTGGAAAATGGTGTCTTCAAAGTGTCGTCAAGATTAATGGTTTTCTCATTCCCACGTAGTTGGTCTGTTAGGGATCTCATGAGAGATGCATGATTCCGTATGACCTATCGGTTAAAACATACTGGTCTTCTGAAAATTCTTAGTTGCTTGATTATGGTTTGTTCAGGGTGAATAACTTCAGAGCAAATAACGTGTCCGAGAAATCGAGGGTGTCTAATCCGATTTGGTATTTCTGTATACTCACAGTAATCGCAATTAGACAGTCAATAATTGTTACTGACACATCTCCCACAACGAAATTACAGTGAATAGGTTAGTACAAACCCGAGTTAAGGTGAACATACCTTTTATTGTGAGTGACAATCGGTTTTCGTTATAACAAAAGTTAAAACAAGCCTTAAATCTTTGGGTTCTCAGAGCAAAACTCTCGAAATACCGACTGAAAGCAAAACCCAAAAATCACCAGAATCAAAGTTATCAACAGACTAATTCAAAGTCGAAGTGAAACAAATAACCAAAACCCTTTAAGTATAATGAGATTCAGGATAAAATTGGACTACTGAATACTGCGAGATCCTACTGTAATATACTCAATGTTACGTCTTCTGTCCAACTCTAGCGGCATTGTATTTACTACAACAAGGAACTGCGCAGGTGAGTCTGTCATTACATGCTCGTGGAAGTGGGCCTATGCACAACAAAACTGGTCTTTGATGTTGTCAGGAAATGTATATATAGGCGAGAAAAATATGTGAAGACAGAATCAGTATCATGATATGTAAACATACATAAGGTTGTAACAAGGAATAGACTCACAGCTTCTCGTTGAGTATACCAGGTCAAGACGTTCTAGCCAATGAGGATGTCACGGGAACTCAGAGTTGGACTACGCATTTGTTCACAATACTTCTAATCAAAATTTTTGTAATAATCGCTCTCTTGGAAGTTTCAGTCGACAATGTTCTAGCCACGTGAACATGCGAGTTAGCACTTATCTCACTGCCACTTAAATGCTTGTAAACATCGGCCAAACGGTAAGGTAAATTTTCAGATTGACTATGAGAATATTTTGTACATAAGCTTTTCTTTTGCATCAAAACCGTGTGATTTTTTAAATAATATAATATGTGATTGCCACTCCATTTTCTCCCTTTGTGTAAGGTCCCTGATTTACGTTGTATGCTATAGATTTAGGCCTTCTTTGCTGATCAATAGACCCCGATAACACGTGTTACAACTGAGCAATGCATTCGAAACCTGTCTCTAATAACTTATAGTCCCGATTATCAATCTGTCTTAAACTGATACTCGTATTAATTTTAGTTGTTGTCAGTTGCATTATCTATGAGTTTACTGAGTCATCCGCTCGACTTTTCTCTTATTCTTTCCTCTTCCACATAACCTCACACGTTGCTCCACACATTTCACCAGTATACAAGATACCTTCCAGCTAAACGCGAACTTACCAAAGGCTGAAGTTACATTTAGTAAGGAAGGAGGGATAGAGTTCACTCACATTCAAAAAGACACTCCTTACATAGCAAATATCCTACTCCAGGTAGCTCAACATACAGCGTCTATTCCACTTAATGTAATTCTTCGGGCCCACATACTATTTCTAGCTCTAGTAAACGCAGTTATTGCAAGCACTGAGGATAATGCTTTTCCATTAGGGGCAGCTGTGCAACGCATTCGAAATATTGCGCTACCAACTTCTTATATTTGCGTTATTTCTGATTGATGTCTATTGCTTTCTTTATTAAATGTAAGTGCAATATATTTTCCTACCAGTCGTCGACTTGGTTTTTATTGTGTTCTTTCCTCTTCCGAATAATCTCATATACGGCTTTTCACACCCCCTAACACGCAAGGTACCTTCAGGCTAGACGCAAATCCACCAAAAGTTAGACGTTACTACTGCGTGTATCATATTTTTGCCATAATCTCTCTAACTCTTTTAGTACAAGACAGTGTAATTTTCAGTGCCATCGAAATCTGGACTGTTTTATTCTGCTGATATATCAATAGGCTTAAGTTTAGTCATTTAGACACTAATACGAATAGTGGAAACGTTGAAAAACAGTGTTCCTCCCAGTAGTATATTCCACAGCTTGATTGCATGACTGAAAAGTAACAAGGTTGATATGCCTATTCATGTTTTGGATTTACTAGGGCGAAATCCTACTTATATCTGGTTCACTTACTCGACCTAAAAGTTTCAGTGATCGATGGTTAGTCACGATTGGAGAACGATGAGACTAAAAGCAGCTACTTAAGGTCTGAGGGAGAAGTCGTACTTTGTTCATTTTTGGTCTGAACATGTGTTTTATTATTGCAAGTAACAATTATTATGGTTTTACACTAATTCCACAGTTTGTAATGGATAAAGTGAAATCTATATTAACCAAAGCATTGGGTGAAAAAGCTGCGACAGATTTCATACAGTAGGTCAGATTATTTTTATTAGAATTATCACTGCTAAATTGTTCTAGAGTTTGCATGGAAGTCGATGATACTCAAGTAATTAAAAGACGCGTGTCCACTCTACTAGATACTCGCAAGGTGGAGAATCGTCAAGTTTATGAAATTCTGATACGAGAAAATATTCGAAGAAGTGGATTTACTAACGAGGTCGGTTTTTTATATCGCCAGTTTTCCAGCTTTAAAATTACGCGTGGAATATACAGCAGGTTATTCATTTGTATTAGAGCTTCTGTGCAACGGTATTAAAATCATTTATTTAACGTGAAGGGGTGTTTGTGTTTCGTTTGAGAAACTATCCACTTATGATCATATCTAAACTACTGTACCAGCGAATGCAGCTAATCCAAGCATGATCACGATACCGAAAACGGAAAATAAAGATTACACAAAATTTTACCGTTTATTTCCAAAGTGTATGTGATACTGGATTACAAGCAAATCAAAATAATGAATAGCAGTAAAACATTAAATGACAAGAAGTTGCTATGTCATTATACACGTATGATGGCACTAGACATATTTATTTTCAATACCTACTGTCTGTCGTAATAAGTTTATGTATGTATTTTCAGTCGGAGCCAACAGTCTCAATGCGTCAGCCAAATTAGTTGTGAAAAACCTAATGTCTGGAAAAAGACATGTTTAAAGTTCATCAGATAAAAGTGATTGCTTTTTAGGACCAATAAAATTACAGCATTAATTTACTTCCTGAAGTATGTGTCGTTCAAAGACAGTCATACTCTCTCTAAAGTTCCGTTATCCGAGTTTTACAACAGTTTGTCATTATTATCAAACGAAGGTTGAACTTGGTAGTTTCAAATAAACTGAGCATTAGGTGGAAAGTTAACAATGATAAAATGATCATAATTTTTTCGTGATATACCAGTGAGTAGAAATTTGTATTTCTGACTTTTCGTGACTTGATAAAAGGCACTTTTGTAGAGAAAATAAATATTTTTATTTCCACTGATTGGGATATCACCAAAAAATTATGCTCATTTTATTATTGTCATGGTTAAATTATGAATATGAAGTTACGATGAGCAGGGGCATAAGAACTGTTATTAGTCGATCAAGATAGAGAGAAGTTTATTTGATGTAACCATCTACATGCAAAAAAATGTTTGTTATCAATAAACGAATGTCTGATACACATTCAGTAAAACATTATGTTGGAAAATGTAATATGCCGTAGGTGAAATCACCTGCTAGTGATGGTTTTTTGTAAACGTAGCTGGTCGAAATCTCGAAAGTGAATGGCGAAACAATTAGCAGTGTCGTAATAAACCTCAACTTCAGGATCCTTTCACTTGCTCAGTGTCGAGTCTGCATAAGCGTTGTCACTGGTCCTTGTACTCTTTAGTGAATGACACTAGCAAACCTGAAAAAAAAGTCAGTTTTTAGTGATTATAATCTAAAATTCCTAGTTCGACTAATAGTGTTAATTATCATTGATCGATGGGAAGAATACTTCAAGGATCAATTCAACGTTCCCTCAGTCACACTTCGGTTGCCCACGATCTCCAGTCACCCTAAATTGCGAATTGATACAAGTCCTTATGTAGTCGAAAAATCTATAGGAAATCTGGAGAGGCAGGCCCTGATCGATTGACCCCTGAGAGACTTTTAGGGATGGTGGTCCAATTTTAGCAGTGAAATTGATTGAGATCGTAGGTAGGATCTGGAAACTGGGCATAATCCCATCTGAATGCTCTCAACCAATGATTGTCCCAATTTATAAAAAAGGAAAAAAGTCCTCTTGTAACTATCACAGAGGAATCATTTTAATTAACATAGTGTCGAATTTATTAGCCTCGATAATATTCCGACACCAGATTAGAGTTCGTGAATAGCAGACTAGAGAAAATCAGGCTGGTTTCAGACCTGGACGTGATGTAAAGACCACTTTTACACTACGAAAGGTCCTGGAACACAGACAAATTTAGGCGTCCTACAATAGTTGTCTTCCTTGACCTTGAGGCAGCATTTGACTCTGTTGATCGTGAGGTTCTGTGGCAGTGTCTGTCACTGAAAGGAGTACCGGAGAAGTACATTAACCTTATACAAGCTCTCTACTCGAACATTACTGGTCGAATTAGAGCTTATGGCGAACCGTCATCGACATTGATTACTTCGAGTAGCGTCCGTCAGGGATATCCACTTTGTCCATTCTTATTCAACTTTGTCAAAGACCTGCTTTTAGATATAACATTGTCTTTGTCTGACTTTTCAGGAATTGACCTTCTACCAGGAGGTAAGTTTGTTGACTTAGAATATGCCGATGACATAGTTCTACTTGGTGAAGACGCTGACAAAATGCAGTCTTCTGACCACCCTAAGCAACAATGTAAGCATGTTCGGGATGCGGTTCTCACCCTCGAAATGCAAAATGTTGCTTCAAAATTGGGTTGCATCGGTACCTGAACTAGTGATAGGGTAGTGAAGTAGTTGAACGTGTTTTCCTTACACCCAAAGTTAGCACTTACTAGAAGTAGGCGATTATTTAAGCATAGCTGTAGCAGTCGGTCTCCATTACTTGTTCTGTGAATTGCAACACTATAAAGTTCACTTAAGTGTCTTTCAGTTTCCCTCAGTTTACCTACTTGAGCATTGAAGTCACCATCCACTATTACTAGATCAGAGAGCCTAACGTTTTGAAAGAGGTTAGAAAGTTTTCGGCAAAATTCACTTTTTATCTAATCTGAGCTGCAGTTAGTGGGAGCGTATGCAGATACGACGAAGAGGCAGCTGCGAGTGTCCCTACCTTTCCAAGTCCTTACTGTCCCGTTTAATCGGACAGCGCATAGTCGACTGTTTACCGGGATCCAGTCTAAGGGAGCTGGTTCTGCCCTAGGACTCAATGCTATGCCAACACTAGCGAGGCCGCGGGAAGCAGCATCAGGGCTACCTGAAACACGAAGCGTCAACCGAGTTGATTCTCTATCTGGAAAAGTTGAAATCAAATTAATGATATTGCTCGAATCGTGTATGCGCGTCTCGGAGACGCAGGATACATCGATGGTGCGCGATTCCAAAGTCCTAGCTAATTAAGCCTGTTGTCTTATTCGGTTGAAGGTTCGAACATTAAAGGCTCCAATATGTAGTTTAGAGCAGGGTTTCAGGAGACCAGGAAAAACGTTTCTTGAGCTCGAAACGTTTGCACTAGCGGCGCAAGGTGATAAATGAATGTGAGATTGTTTGGTCGTGGAGGTAAGAGGTTTAATAAAAATTGAAGGGGGGATTTGATTCCGACTATTTTAGTCTCATGTGCTGTTACGGGTATGAGGATGGATGTTACTATCCAGCTGCCCACACTGTGAAAGTCAGCTTTTTGAGGAACCGGAGAAAGAGGTTGGATTAGCGTTGGTCTTAGAGACCTGGGAGCGTGACCGCAGAGCCCAACGGATAACTGCTTGAGGTTGGTTACACACGGTAATTTTATGGGGAGTTTTTCAGGTGTTGGCTTGGCTGTTTAAATGGTCTGACTGCCGGAGATGTAAATCCGTGAGGTAAAGTGAGGTGTGACACTTTTAGGGTCGACATTTTCTAATCGCTTCCTTCCTTATAAGATGGCAGCATCGCTGCTAATGCTGGTTGTCTGAGAGAAACATTTTACTGCAGTCATGTCTCTCTACAGTCAGCAGTACGACTTCTCCCTCAGACCTTAATTAGCTGCTTTTAGTCTCATCGTTCTCCAATCGAATTGCCTGACATGGTAGAACCTACAGGAACATCTGTTTTAGCCAATGTAGCTCAGATTGGTCGTCACGATAGGCAAGCCTGCCCACCACGTCAAGGTAGTAGCTACGGTTAGGAAGTAAACAATAGAAATCGCATCAACTACCGAAAAAGTGAATAACTGTATCTAACGCGATAAAGCTTAAGAATACCCCCAGTCTTTATTTCAGAAAATAACTCAGTTTGAATATCCCTCGTCGAACTTATGTGGCTGTGTGTGTTTGGCATCATCTGTGAAGTATAAGATGATTTATGCGTCGTTTTTCTAGTGAGCTTATTTAATTTTTTAGCGAACGACTTAATTCATCCACATGTATGTTTCTTTTTCCTCACAGGGATATCGCAAATCTAGTTGTAGTTCAGATGTTTTAAATAATTCATTCACATCTTCCGACAACATTTTGAATTCAGAAAAGGTTTGTTATATTTTAAGGTAATGTAATTTATTGCACACTAAATGCCATGAAGTTCATTGGAACGATTTTTGTTATTTACACATTATGTAACGATTGACTTGTTTTGAGTAGTCTTGTTTATTAGCTGAACATGACTTTGAATCCTGTCTATTCTAATCTGCGATGTGACTTACTTAGACTTACGCCTGTTATATGTGTGTCCTATCCACTTCCACCGCTTCTTCCTGATTTCCTCATCCACTGGAATCTGACTTGTTCTCTCCCACAGTTCGTTGTTGCTGATGGTGTCTGGCCAACGAATACGAAGTATTTTGCGTAGACAGCTGTTAATAAACTCTTGTATCTTCTGGATGATGGCTTTGGTAGTTCTCCATGTTTCCGCTCCATACAGTAGAACTGTCTTCACATTTGTATTGAAAATCCTGATTTTGGTTTTGGTTGAAAGTTGTTTGAAGTTCCAGATATTTTTCAACTGTAGAAATGCAGCCCTCGCTTTGCCGATCCGTGCCCTCACATCTGCATCAGATCCACCTTTCTCGTCGATGATGCTGCCAAGATATGTAAAGGTGTCAACGTCCTCCAAGGCATCTCCATCAAGAGTGATTTGGTTGGTGCATGTTGTGTTGCATCGGAGAATTTCGCTCTTTCCTTTATGTATGTTGAGACCTACTGCTGCAGAGGCTGCTGCTACACTGGTCGTCTTCTCTTGCATTTGTTGTTGAGTGTGCGATAGAAGAGCCAAGTCATCTGAGAAGTCCAGATCGTCCAGCTGCGTCCTAACTGTCCAGTTGATACCGTGCTTCCCTCCAGACGTCGACGTTTTCATGATCCAGTCGATGACCAGGAGAAAGAGAAAGGGTGAGAGTAAGCAACCTTGCCTGACACCGGTCTTCACCTCGAACGAGTCTGTTAGCTGTCCTTCGTGTACGATTTTGCAGTTGAATCCATCATAAGAATTCCGTATGATGTTAACTATTTTCTCAGGCACCCCGTAGTGTCGAAGAAGCCTCCACAGTGTTTTCCTATCCACGCTATCGAATGCCTTCTCGTAGTCGATGAAGTTGATGTAGAGTGGTGAGTTCCATTCAATTGATTATTCCACAATGATCCGTAATGTAGCAATTTGGTCAGTACATGATCGATCTTTACGAAATCCGGCCTGTTGATCTCGAAGTTGGGCGTCTACGAAGTCCCTCATTCTGTTTAACAATACCCTGTTGAAGACTTTGCCTGGTATTGAGAGAAGAGTGATGCCTCTGTAGTTTTCACACTTGCTGAGATCGCCTTTCTTTGGTATTTTGATGAGGTATCCTTCTTTCCAATCTGATGGTACTTGTTCCTTCTTAATTACATAAACCTAACAGTGCATCCTAGTGAAACAGTGTAATTCAGATTATTGTACACGAAAATCCGTATTATTATTAAATATAGGTAATTTTGTGATTCTGATTTCTGCTTTGGTGATCGTTAAATTATTGTCAATGTTTTTTCCATTAAATACTATGAACTAATTGATACAGTGTCTTGTATATCCGATGTTAAAAAAATGATGGTTACTTAGTTTGTGTTGAATTAACAATTTATTTTTTGGTGATTGACTAGTGTGTTGTAATCTCAGCTTTCCGCTGCAAAGAATCGATCTCACTCATCTAACATTTTATTTTTAACCTGTTACTTTTTAGTAGGTTACTTAGGCTGTCTTTAACTGTCTATTGGCTTTAAATGGTTAGGAAGTACATTTTAACCATAAAGCTACGTGGATAATCGTATTTAGAACTTACTGTGTGCCCAAAAATATGCAAAACGTTAAGGTGTACGTTTAATGGGTGGCAATGCTAATCACATACTCGATTTGTCACTTAAAAGAAATTAGGTGGTTGAAATCAATTACTAAAAAAAACATAGACCTATGTTCTGCTCTAGTTTTCAATCGTCATCAAAGCATATTATAATGGACTAATACTTGGGATGAAATACGATAAACAATTCCCCTATTCCAAACAGTTGTTTATTGGACCCAATTTAGGAGGTCTGCACTCCGTAAAATCGTCAAGTCTTGTTCTGGTAGTCTCATAGCAACTTCATTCTCCATGTTAAGAGTTAATATCTGAAAAACCAATTTCTTTTAATAATCGTATATAAATATACATCCTTTCAAATCTGTTTCCTATTTGGGTGGTCCAGATAAATGCAGGGCAATCGACATCACAAACTACTAAGAAGAAAAAACAAAAAACAAAGTTCTACCCATTATTTTGTGAAGGGGCTCAAAGTGATCAACTTGTTTCCCGCCTACCTGGTCGACATCCTTGTCAGTGCTTAGCAACTAAGCATCAGTTAGTCAATAATTGTGTTAGTTGTGGTCGGATTGTTTGTACACAGGAAGGTTCAGGTCCATGTTATTATTGTGGAAGTCTTGTTTGTACAAGAGAAGAGCAAGATCAAATATCATTAGGAACTAAACAGAGTGAAAAACTCCGTAATAAACTTTTGCAAGCAGCATGGGCACCTGGCACGGAAACCCCATATTATCGACTTGTCCGTCGGGCTAATAAATCAAGACAAAAACCAAGTTCTGAAATCATCTCTACCGAGTTGAATTCAAGTATTGAACCAGAAAGTGATACTGATGCCGAAGACCTAATACCAAAGCCTGTCTACGGAGCTCAAACTCGTTTGGAACAAGGCAGGTTAATTGATCATGTAATTTGATTTGTTGCAAACTCGATAAATCATTTTTAGTAGAGGCATAATCATACCTGTTTATTTTTTCCCAGACTAAAACGATTAAAAATGACCCATATCTGATCACATTAAAATTAAAATTAAAGGAAAGAATAATTTGATAGTTTCCTAGTCACGTCACGAGTCATTTAATTACAACAACCAATGTACTGTTGCGAAAAGTTTCTATTTACGAAATTCCGGTTATATAGAGGAAACACTCGTAGTAATTTGATAAAGCACTTCCTAGTAATAATTATTAACGACTCAGCACTTTATTAATCAAAATAACCAAAGGTTCAATATTTTTATGGTAGTAGCAACATAAATTGAGCAACTTATCATCGTTCAAAAGTGTATGTTGCTTAATAAAATTCGGAGCACAAGAGTGTTCCGTACACTATTTAGTCTTCAACTCGTTTGATTTTTGAAACCCTTTACGTCAATAAATTAGTAGTAGAAATTGATATTAATATTACCCTACACTTGACCGAAATGAAGTTAAGAAAACAAGAGAAAGCTGATATCTAATTTGTAAGAATTAAATTTCCCAAGTTATGATTCACTGCATGGTATAAAATAATAATTTTTACACAATCACATCTAAATGATTACACGAGCTTCAAAATAACATGGATGTTACCTCTAGTGAATGTTAACTTAACAATTATTCTTTTCCCTGTCATATTGTATATTATATCCGTTTTAAGGACTGTTATTTTAATTATATGTAAGTGTATTCAGTAGGATAAAAATGAACACGAATTCTAGTATTAAACTTGTTGTTACAGCTACTACTTCAACTACTTCGATAAAGAACGTCTAAATGATTGTTAAATGACAGTTAAGGAATAATAATGACTACTTTTTCATACACCCAGTACATTCATTGAAAACCTTTATTAACACGTTAATTTCGTTACTAGATTATTTATATGCTTTACTGAGTATAAATCACTGTAATAGTTAACTACGAAATTCAACGCTTCAGTATCAGCAACTACAGAAGTCACATCATTCATTCAGCTTCGAGCTCTTATTAAGATTAATGCTAAGGTTTCATCTCAATCCATCGACTTTCTAAGACTAAGTTGTAATACACAAAGTCAGTTGTAGTGCACGTAGTATCGCGCATATATATATATATATATATATATATATATATATATATGCGTTAACCAAAGTTATCAAATGAATACAGTTAGTAAAAATTAATAAGATGGTTAGCAAGTGAGAGCGAAGTGTGGAAGACGATTAGACAATGGGAATATATTTGGAAAAGACAGAGAAAAGAGGTACGTTAAAACAGTACTGGAGAAAGAAATCCTGAGCAAGGCAGAAAGCGAATGCGTTTGTTCTGTAATAAACGATTTGGGGTCTACACATGTTAATATGGCTCTGTCAAGTTGTCAATGGTATACGTACTTTATATTTTTTGTGCGTAAATGCCACTTGGATCCCTACAGTTACTGTGGAACAAGCAGCTTGTGGTACTGTTATAAAGATTAACACCTAATTGTTTTAAAATAACCTATTGCATGGATGCTGTTAAAGGGGATTTACATTCTCGCTATAATACCTTCACTGTGTTGATGGATTGGTATGTACACAAAAGCCAGTTAATGAGAATGAGAACTTTTGTAAGATTATTACTATCTTACTATTTTAGACGAATGTTGTTTTGAATGCAGCCAAATCTGCTGATGTTATTTATTCACCTAACTTAAAACTCTATAGTTGACAGATCTGTGATGCTCTATTGAATTTGGTTAGATCATAAACGGTTGCTGTATCTGTACTTGAAAATGAAATCTATTCTATTGACATTTCTCAGTATATATCTTTATCTCCACCTTAACGGAAACAATTTAACTTTCTTCTTTTGGCTAATCTTATTATATCAGGTTTAATAAATGCATTATGTAATCGTGATAAACTTTTGGAGTTTGACGCTACCTGTGCTAGACGAACTAGAGTTATTGATGATGAATTAGATTATTTCGCAACAGAGGGTGGTGCTGGATCAGCTGCTTGGTTAAGCCCTGAAGTTCGTGAAAGGATAGCCCAACGTGTAATTGAATTAAAATCCCAAAGGCATGCACATCGTCTCCAATCTGCACGTATGTGTATTGACCTGGAAAAGTGTGATGTTATAAAAGAGGTTAGTGTGTACTTATAACACATGAAATATGTAGTACAGAGATAGTTCTATGGCACTTTATTGAATAAACTTTTGTCACTCTCGACGAAGTCCATCAGTATTTCTTATTGATGTTGTGTCGACAGAGTTATTTTTATTGATTAGTCGACTCATTTCTATCCAATGAGGTTAAAGTTGAATTTTATATGCGAAAAGTTTGCTAACATCGAAAGGATTATTTAAAAAATCACAGTTTCACTATGAACATCAGTTCTTTAATTTCTTGTAACAAACTGATAGTTTTCGACCTTAACGTGGTCATTCTTCGCTGTGATCATTGAATTACTTTGGCTAGTTACTGGCTTATGCTTTACATGAAAGACTCAGAGTGGATTGTGAAATTTGAAATTTTTGGATTATTCTAGCCTGTATCTTTCCCTCCAGGTTTAACATTTTTCAAACAGTTCAAACAATGTAATATGACCACTTACTAACGTTTCTCACGGAGTCGAACTCCGTTGTTAGATGCATCTACATTTGACCGCCAATCTTTAACCTAGAAACCTATCAAATAATTTATAAGATTATGAAGTAATTATGTTGGATGGATTTGCTCTGTTGATCATTGCAATTTCATAAAAGCTGTAAAATTTTGAATAGCCACAAATATAAGTCCTTTGACAACAGGATTTTATTAGATATTTGAGTATTTCTACATCAGAAACAGAAGCTACATAAAAAGTATGCAATTACTACAGTCCTGTTTACTGAAGAGTTATTCTGAAAGTTTTGTGGCATGAAAGTTTATTACTTTGGCTGTCTTTGAATTAGAATTTGGATACTGGTTATCGGATTTCAGAGCAAATGTTGCAGTTATTTTTTAATCAATAGTTTATTCTTTCATGTTGTTTACAGTCTCTGATTCATATGATAGGCATACTATGATGCAATAATAAATTCACTCTTTGTTTCTTTAGCACACCGAGTAATGGTTATGCATTAAACTTTTCCTTTACTCATTTGATGCATAAAATGAGTCAGTAAAAGATTCCAAAAGCCTTATTCGCAGCAGTTTAGCAACAGCCAATCGCGTGTTTTTAGAATCAGTGAAGATATATGAATCATAAACATACTCTAGCTAATTGCGAGTCATGTGAGCTATAATTCGGTGAAGACTCTAGGTAGAAACTGTTTTATGAGATAAAAAAAACTAGTTCATTCTGGTTTGTACAAACATAAAAATTTTAATGTTACTACCTGTATTGTTCACTCTGAAACAACCAGATTGATTAAAATTTACAGTCATTAACGTCAGATATTTGGTGTTTTATCACTGTATGAAGAGCTTGTTGGTAATTAGGAATGGAATGATGATAAAATCTCGTTTCAAGAAAAATCGAGGGGCAATGATGACCATTCAGTCTGGAGCATAATATTGTGCTAGTCGAATCAGTATCGTTAGGTAATTTAGCAGTACATGTCGTTTGTCGTACGCCGAACCGGATAGTATCTTACAAATCTACTCTTTATCTCCAATATCATACTTACAGGATAGGTTCTTGTTACAACATAAAATCCCTTGTTTAAGGATTCTGGATTATGAAAGTTAATCAGGGTTCCCTCATAATGAACAAAATCGACACAAATTATCTTTGTTCACTTGTAGCTCTACATGTCAATCAGACGGCTCAACTCAATGGCATATTTGTTCATCACTCTGTCATATGCCATTTTGAGGTAAAGTGGGAAACTTTTTAGATACATTCAAGCTGTTTACTTTGAAATTACCAAAGAGGAGAACATTGACTACTCTGCAAAGCCTGCTCGAAATTCACACCACTCTTATTGACGAAAACCCGCAGAGGTTCTGATGAGTTACAAGCGACTCAGTACACACACTCAGAGAAATCTAAACTCTACCTCAAATGTTCGCGTGCAACCATGGGCTGTTTAGTAAAAGGCTATTTCAAAGAAAATGACAAGATAAAATCGTAAATCCTAGGAGGTAAGGACAAGAATTTTGGCGTTTTTTATTCGACTAAAAACCACTGACAGATATATCAAACTAACATCATCGCCACCTAGAAATCCTACTCTTTGGTGTATGTTGTTCCCCTAAGTGACTGTTTTCACTTCCATTTGTTATATCATGCATATTTGTTTATTTCAAGTAACTGTAGTCAAAGCTATAAATATCTTGGTTTCTAAAGGTTGTCTTTTATGGGAATTCTTTAGTGGAGGTTTCAGTTCATGGTCTATGTAGATGTGTATGTTTATATTGATTACTCACAGAGCGTATAAAATTTCTTTATAAAACAGTCTCAGGCAGTAGTTGTACATTGTAATTTTTTAAGAAACGTCACTGTAATTATATCTTTTTCTTTGTAAGGATACAAGAGATGAAGCTGCTGGGAAACTGTACAATCCAAGTCAAGAAGAATTGGATGAGCTTTGTAAACCTTCAGCTATTTCAAATGCCATTCAGTCTTCCGGAGATATTCAAAAGACAGTTAACTCAAATATTGATGAAATAACCTTGCCTACTGTAAGTACATTTATTTTTCTTGATTTAATTTCTTCCAAAATAATACATTATTCATTCTTTCGCAGTTTACAATTTTGAGTTTAATATTTTGTTTACTGAATCTCCTCACTCTGCATACCATTTGTTTTCATTATCATTAGGAAGGCTAGTTTGTGTTTGTTAGTATTCTTGATTGTCACCCTACTTCTAAGATAACGACAACTTTGCATGTAACCAATCTTTATTGGGGGATGTAATCAGCTTTTTGATTGTCATTGATTTTCGTCCATAATTATCGATACTGGAAATACAAGATTCACTGAGCCGTGCAGTACAGATACAATAAATAAACATTTGTTGAATTAGATCATATAATCAAGCACACTGCTTATATGGTTTGTTTTCCTTATTTGGTTACTTCAGTATGTTTTTTATTACTGCATTGAATAATCCAATGGTAGCTCTGAGTTCGTTACTTTTCAAAAGACAAGTTACGCACTAAATTTTTTCAAAGATTTTATGTTAATGTGCAACCTTTGATAATATGTTGAAATCACTTTTTTGTAGTTCATACCTCAGTCTATGGATACAAAAACCTACACAGTTAATAATGATTTAAATCCGGTGATTATGGCTTTAAACCAATCAACCTCCCTTTTACGAATACAAGATGATGAATCAAGACAACTTGTTGATGAAGGTTATTGTTTGAGTCTACATCAACCTTGGGCTTCATTATTAGTACGCGGAATCAAGTTGTAAGCTCTAGTATATATTTTTAGCCGATCTTTTTTATACAAATGTAGTATGTTTTCTCCAAATAAATTTATTTACATACTAACGCTCAGGTACGAAGTTGATCATTCACAAATCAGTCTATTTGTATTCATAAGACAATCCATAGATTAGTCCTTAAGACATTTTTTCTATTGAGTGAAGCAAAATTACTTTTCATCAAAGCTGTTAACAAATTTTTATCTGACCAGTTGTTTGAGGTAAGAATAATAGTAATAATAATACATACCAAATTATCAATAACTACTTTGTTCTATTCACGCAATGATTAAGCAGTTTAAAAGTCATATTTCAATATTCGAAACGTTATACGTTCGTAACTGCATCAAGCAAGTTGTTTAATTCCTCAGTCGATCTATTCAATCAATGATTGTAAATCATGTAACTTGATTCCTGAGTCATATTACTGATCACTCTTTGTTCTTTTTTCTCTTTCCAATTCAAGTCTTTGAGATATTGATAACAATTTATCACAAATCTATTTATAGATTTATCAAATAGTAGGAATATGTTTTTTTTGTAAATCAAAGCTAAGCTAATCAAGGATATTTTTGATTCATTGAAAAGAATTTATTAAAATATATGTATACTCGTTGAATCACTCTGTGTTATTTGCCTAAATACAGGGAAGAAGGGAGAACATGGTATACTCCATATCGTGGATGTCTGTGGATAGCATCTACAGCACGTAAAACTGACCCAGATGAAATCGCTCAAATAGAGAATGAATATTTGAAGGCTGGTAATGTTTTACATTCCGTTGATGTTTATGTTGTTTATATTTATTCTTTAAGCCTGACATCTAAATATGCTTTCTGGAAATATTTCAGTACTCATTACTTTCATATTTATCCTGGAGCATGGTTACACAGGCTTAGTTGTATCATTAACTGTCAATATAAGTAAATAGTGTATTGTTCTGATGGCAATTTTAAGTTATCTTTTACGTATCAGACCACTAAGTTATTCCATGTAATGAGTTTTCCAATTTTTACTCACTAGTATTTCATTTGTTTTTCCCTTAATCTGCCATATATGCTTATTCATTAAACATTATTAAAAAAGCACTAATTCTCGATCATACCAATGTAAAGGTATAATAATATAAATATCCATATGTATATATCGATTTCTTGTAGATTAATCTTTTTATTTACCGATTATACTACCAATGTTAAACTTAACTATTTTTGTATAGCAGATAATTTCATACTAGAATTCCGTATTGTACTAAAAATATAGTTTTAAATAGATCCATAATCAATTATTATTGCTAGTATTATTATACAGAGATATTGGTAATAAAGGACTATTAGTGTAAGCATAACCGTAAAAAATACCAATTATTTTAATCACCAAATGAAAACTAGCAGGTACAGGACGGATAACAAATAAATGCAGAAAAGGCATTATATAACTTCAAAAAAGATAGACGTGATTTATAAATATGTTACCAGTGAGAAGTTCAAACTAGTTTGATTAGTACAAGGAACACATTCACCCTATTTGATCATATTAATGTTATACCATTTACATTAGAAAGGGTTGTATGTGATATATACAAATATTTTCCGTACTATCAACAATACTTCGGATTCGTTAGCCAGACACCATCAGCAACAACGTGCTGTGGGAAGGAACAAACGAGATTCCAGCAGAGGAGGAAATCGGGAAAAAGCGCTGGACGTGGATAGGGCACATTGCGGAAAGCACCTAACTGCATCACAAGACAAGCCCTCACTTGGAACCTTCAAGATCAAAGAAAAAGATGAAGGCCAAGGAACATATTACACCGAGAAATGGAGACAGACATGAGAAGAATGAACAAAAATTGGATAGAACTGGAAAGGGAAGCCCAGGACAGAGTAGTTTGGAGAATACTGATCGGCAGCTTATGCTCTATTGGAGGTAACAGGCGTATATAAAGTAAAATAAACCAAGAAATTATGCTCTTAGGACTATGTGCGATCAGTGTAATTCAAAGAAACCAAAACAAAGTGTGATAACTAGCATTTCAATACATTGATGAATCAAATCCTCTTAATCAGCACCATAGTTGGTTATTCTTGGTTCACTCATTTCAATTCATTTACGATTCTAGTTTCTTTTCAATGCAATTATCGTCCCCTACTTTTAGCATTAATATTGAGTGAATATTTATGTACATCTAAACAACCACAACGCTTAATCTGAAATAATAATACGTTTTAAAAATGTCACTCACTAAAATTGATCTGTTCAGTGTTTCAAAATGGTTGGATTTCTTTGTAACTCTTGACAAAGTTTCCTATGCTCTTTCAGTTCAGTATATTTGATACGGCTGAGATAAGACCCCACCGTAAAGACACTTCTAACCTCGTGACTGATATTCTTTATCTCTGTAAATCTATCATTTCTTTCTTATACAACGCGAAGAATAATCCACTTAAAGTTCCCAATCTTCATTGAAAATATTTGTATCTCATTGTTCCAAGTGGTCTCGTTGAAGCTCTACGTTTTTTTCCCGTAACGTTTAATCTTATGGTTTCAGTTTTCGCTAACATTTCTGCATCTGATGCTATCAATCATATGCACACTGTTTTGTTTCACACTATTGGTATAATACACAATTATGAACTCACGAATTCTATTTTCATGATATTTCTCAAATATTTCAAAATTTTATTACCATTATTATCTATAGGTATTCCTAAATCAGATATGCCAACATCATATCCTACAAGTTGTCTTCTTGGTCGAGTTAATATTGTAAATGTAATAACTCAAGAAGAATATCGTGAAAAGGTAAGATTTTATGAACTAAGGATCCAATTTAAATCTTTGTTTCATTTGTCGTTCATTTCTTGTATACCTAACTTAATTGGGTAATATTTTATTCATTAAAGTTAATTTGTACTTTACACCTGCTTTTTCATGTTTTATCTTCTTCAACTTCATATTTCTTCAAGATCAACACAGGTTGTGCATTATGTTTACATTTATCAGCATTTGCACCATTGAATCTTATTACAACTTCCATCGTAGGTTAAGTTGAATATTCAACATTCTGGTTGTTTTCTTACCACTGTACTAAAAAAAGCCTCTGGTTATTTGATTTATGTGGCTTTGTGAATAGAGTTGATTATCAGTCTGCTATTACATTGTGCTAACGTATAATTGCTGACTATCAGATTGCATTACTTCTCGAGTATTGTTTTGTTTTAACTTTATGTAAAAAATGTACCAGATATATTGTTCCGTTAATGTTTAAAACCTGTAGACAACCCACATCAAATCATTACCTTAATCGGAATTCATTCACCAATTTCATCGTTAACTTCTTGAACATACAGCAATTGCAGCTAGATCTCTATTTTCTATTAATCAAAACTGACATGACCGTGCTTCTTATGGTTAAGTTCAATTAACTGTATGTTTGTGTAGATGAACTTAAGAAATTAAGTTCCTCAGCATTACTTTCATCAAAAATTATAATATTACCCGAAGGATTGATCTAATAATGATGAGTTATATTGGCATGTGTAGGCTATCTAACCATGATTTTTAGATTGCAGAGATCGGTGGTTGGAGACATTTATTATTATGACTGAGAAACGACTTTAGCAGTACAGATAGACATTATCCTTTGTAAGTACTGAATGTTTACTTCCAACTAATTATTATTTTGCTTTCGATCATTTTGTTTGGACGGGTTACTTCTTTGTGCATTGTATTAAACTTCACATTAATTCAGGTTGCCAGTAAGCTTTGTTGTATTTATATTACTCATAAGCTTGTCGTTTTTTTTTTTAATTTATTAGCAACCAAACGGATCGTCACAGAGTCCTTATGTGTTCATTTGCTCAAATCCACAAGAAACTTTAATTAAATTCCCGATACGTGGAAGGCATAAAATATGTGAGTTTCATATAATGCACTACATTATTTTACAGATAAACTAGAAAAACATATGCATATTGCGGCGAAAAAAAACCTTACATAAGTATTAATCGCAGTGGGCGATTACTCCGTAAATCCGTCTTTCATTTTTTTTCAATATTAAAGGAAAGCAGTATTCAATTTGCATTTCAGTTCTTATTGGGTTCCTAACCAGAAGGTAACAAGGTGTTGTATATAACTATAAATACTTACTATCAATAAAAGTCCTTTCGAAGTAAACTGTTCTGAATATTCGCTCAACGCAGTCATTTTCATTAACTATTGAGGATCATAAGAAACGGTAGTTGAGGAAATACATTGTGCGATAACCGAAAAGACCATCCTAGTTATTTTTTTATTGTTTTGAAGTTCATAATACTGCCTGAACCAACAAAACAATAGGCAAATGAATCGCTACTGCTTCGTTATCAGAGTTTGCGATCTGAATAAATTTATATATACCATTAGGCATATATTTGCGACATATAGATTTTTGCCTATAATGGCATAATGTATGTTTTCACCGCGAATGCCAAGATATTGATAAGCGCTAAGCAAGGTTTATCTTTTATTTGGAAATAATCCCACAAATTCGCCTTTATAGTCTTTCCAGGGACATGTTCCTTATTTCATTTATGCAGCCTGAAACACTGTCATGGACAGACAGATAACGCAGAACTTCGTACGTAAGTACATCAGTTCAGGTTGCCATACCACATCAGCACAGAGACGCACATGTCAGTTCAAATCAAATCCAAAAGTGATAGCGATAGTAGATGTATTAGCAGGAGAAGAATAAGGAGCGAAGATATGATTCGAGAAGTATAATTCACTGAGATAAATTTAGGAGAAAGATAGAGATTATGAGTATTTCAGAATGTTAGAATTAGAGAGAACACAAAAAGTGGATGCACCTGCGCCATTGCAAGCGATTCTGAGCCATGTCGTTCAAGCTCTCTAACCATTGGTGACATACGTCTCGCGGACCCCAACCAGGTAGCGTACATCTACCAACATGACTCAGTATACTTGTCGGTGAATTCATGGATTTATGCCATGTTTTGGTTTGGCCGCCCCTAGCTTTCACCTAACCTACTCCTACACCACAAAACATAGCTCGTCGCGGCAGTCGGTGGTTGGGCATACGTAACACATGACCCAACCACCTCAACTGATGAAGTTTCAGCGTCTTCACCGAATAGGACTATGACATCGGCATATTCTAAGTCAACAAGCGTGTCTCCTTGTAGAAGGTCCACTCCTGAAAAGTCGGACGAGTATAAGGTTATATCTAGCAGCACGTCTATGACAAAATCGAACAAGAATAGGTGGAGTGAACAGCCCTGACGCACACCACTTGAAGTAGAGAATTCCGATGACAGTTCGCCATAAGCTCTAATTCGACCAGTAATGTTCGAGTAGAGAGCTTGTATAAGGTTAATGTACTTCTCCGGTACTGCTCTCAGTGACAGACACTGCCAAAAAACCTCACGATCAACAGAGTCAAATACCGCCTTAAGGTCCAGGAAGACATCTATAATAGGACGCCGAAATGTGTGTCTGTCCCAGAACCTGACGTAGTGTGAAAATGTGGTCTATACAGCCACGTCCGGTTCTGAAAGCAGCCTGGTTTTCTCGAGTCTGCTCTTCACGAGCTCTAGTTAGGCGTAGGAGTGTTATCGAGGCTGACATTTTAGACACTATATAAGTTGGGTTGACTCCTCTGTGATTGTCACAAGAAGACTTTTGTCCTTTCTTGTAGACTGGGACAGTCAGTGATTGAGACCAGTCGGATGGGAATACGTCCAGTTCCAAGATTCTACCTAAGATCTCAGTCAATTTAGCTGCTAAAACTGGACCACCATTCTTAAAAACCTCAGGAGTCAATCTATCAGGACGCGCTGCTCTCCCTCACTTCAGGTTTACTATCGCTTTCTCAACTTCATGAAGATTCGGGGGACTTATGTTGGTTTCCCATTCAGGATGACTGGAGATCGTGGGCAATCGAAGTGTGGCTGATGGCCAGTTGAACTGATCCCTGAAGTGTTCTGCCCATCGATCTAATCTCCTGGGTTGAGAATGAATCATCAGATTATCCTTTAGCGAAATAGTCTCACTCACTTTCGGGTTCCTAATACCAGTTTCCTTGATAAGTCGGAAAATTTGTCTAGTGTTGCCTATCACCGCTGCCTTTTCCATTTCTCTCGCTTTCGTCACCCACCACTGTTCGCAGTCGTTGCGTAGGCTTTTTACCAGCCTGCGCCTAAGCTGACTTTGTTCTTCATCATGTTCAGAGCCAGGTAGGAAGCGTTTTCGAGCATCCATCAGTTCGGTGGATGCCACTGAGATCCACGGCTTCTTCCGAGACTTATGGTTTACCTTACTAGCAGATATCACTGCTGTTTCCACAGCTTTTTTTACATCATTTCAACCTGCTTCCGGATGGTTATCGCTTACATGGTTTCCTAACTCTTTTTCTAGTTGCTCCTGAAATATATTCTTAGCTTTTCTATCATTAAGTAAAACCCTTACGGCGTCTTTCCTGCGTCCAGTGAGCCTCAAGCAGATACGCGCTCGCACTAGAGCATGATCTGAATCTAGACATGTGCATTAGAACGAGCGACAGACTTCTATCGAACCCCTCCATCGGTGGCTGATGGCGATGTGATCTAGTTGAGTCCAACGTTGAGACGACTTTGGAGGTCGCCAGGTCAACAGATGTTTTTCCTTATGCCTAAAATTGTTTGCTAGGAATAGGCACTTATCTGAGCATAGTTGCAACAGACGGTCGCCATTGTCTGTTCTCTGTGTTACGACACCATAACATCCACCAAGGTGCCTTTCCTTTTCACTTAGTCTACCTACCTGAGCATTAAAGTCACCAGCCATTAGTACTACATCAGGGTGCCTAACTTTTTGGAGGAGGCCTGAAAGCTTTGTGTAAAACTCATCTTTCACCTCATCTCAACTGCAGTCAGTGGGAGCGTAGGCAGATATGACGAATAGACGACGGGTTTCCCCATCTTTTCGAGTCCTTACTGTCCCGTTCAATCGGACAGCGCACAAGCGACTATCTACTGGGATCCAGTTATGAAGAGCTAGTCCTGCCCTACGACTCAATGTTATACACACACCAGCGAGACCCCGGGAAGCAGCATCAGGGCTACCGGATACATGAAGAGTAAGTCGGGCTGCTTCTTTATTTTGATAAGGTGAAGTCAGATTAATGATTTTACTAGTATCCTGTATGCGCGTTTCCGAGACGCGGCATACATCGATTGAGCAAGATTCTGATGTCCAAGCTAAGGAAACCTGTTGCCCTATTTGACACAATGTCCGTACGTTAAAAGCTCCAACATGTAGTCTAGAACAGGGTTTCAGAAGACCAGAAATGACGTTCCGTGAACTCGCATCGTTTGCATTAGCTGTGCACTGTGATAAAGGAATGTGAGTAGAGTTAATCGTGGAGGTAACAGAGAAATTACGGGTTCTAGGGAAGATTTGATTTAGACCGATTTGGTCTCGCGTGCTGTTACGGGTATGAGGGCGGTAGTCACTTTACGGCTGCCCACAATGTGGAAGGTTGTTTCTTGAGGGACCCGAAAAGGAAGGTAGATTAGTGTTGGTCTTAGAGTGTGACCGCAGAGCCCAGGGGACAACTGCTTGAAGCCTGTCACGCACGGCCTTTATATGAAAGGTTTTTTTAGTATTAGCTCCGCTCATAAAGCCCTTAGTGGGCACCCTTACCGACAGAGACGGAACTCCGTGAGGTAAAGTGAGGTGTGACACCTTTAGGGTCGACATTTTCTAACCCTTCCTTCCTTGTGAGAAGGCAGCATCGCTGCAGATGCTGGTTGTCCGAGGGAAACACCTTACTGCTGTCACACCACTCTGCAGTCAGCAGTACGACTTCGCCCCTAGACCTTGAGTAGCTGCTTTTAGTCTCATCGTTCTCCAATCGACCTGCCTGGCATGGTAGAATCTTCAGGAACATAATTTCCAGCCAATATAGCTCGGTTGGGTCATCACGATAGGCAAACCCGACCATCACTTCAAGGTAACAGCTTCGGTCGGGTAAATACTGTCATGAAAACAGCATAAAAATTTATGCCTGTTACTCAAATCAAGATACTACGAAAGAAGTTGAAAAGTCTTGGTTTTGAATCAAAGGTGCACTTGGTGTCGAAACAGCTGGTGTAAGAATTAGTGTTTGGAATTGCCTCAGTTCTTGGCTACTAAAGCAGTAAATATTTACTACATTGTGGAAAAAATCTTTAAAAACAATTCCAAGGTGATTCCTTTAAGAAACTATCAGCTCATTAGTCACATACAGGTCAAATTCTGCTATACTGTCTCTTGTCAATAAAATCCCAACTAATTACTGTATACAAACTTATTTATATAAACACTACATTCCCTTGTTTGTATGTTTTCAGTCAGTCAGTTACAACGTAAAACTTCGTACACCAGTACATAAGTTTAGGTCGCCATACCGCATGAGCACAGAGACGCAACTGTCAGTTCAAATCCGACAGTGGTGGAGATAGTAGAACTATTAACAGTAATTGAGAAGATTAGGGTATAATTCAGTGAGATAACTTGTTTTCTGTACACTTTAGTTTAAATTACTTTTAAACTCTGTCACAGTAGGTTATTACTGATGGTGTCTGGTCAGCGGATCCACAGTATCTTGTGTAGAAAACTATTTATAAACACCTATCCTTTGGATGGTAATCTTCACAGTTCCCCAAGTTTCTGCTTCATACAACAGAACTGTTTTGATGTTTGTGTCGAGAACTATTATGTTGGCGTCTGTTGGAAGTTGTTTTGAGTTACAGATGTTTGTCGACTGAAGAAATGCTACCCTTGCTCTGCCAATCCATGCCTTCACATGTGCATCAGATCCATCTTGCTCGCTAATGATGCTTCCCAGATATGTAAAGGTTTTCACATTTTCCAGAGTTTCTCCATGAAGTGTGATTTGGTTGGTGCATGTCGTGTTGTATTGGAGGATCCTGCTTTTTCCCTTGTGTATGTATGATGAGACCTACTGCTGCAGAGGTTGCTGCTACATTTGTCGTCATCATCTGCATTCGTTGTTTTGTGTTGAGGTTTGTTCATAATTCAGTCAACCGCCGGAAGGATGAGAGTCGGAGTGAGAATAGGCGGCTTTCTCCTCCAGCTCTTAATGAGGTTGAGATTTTTACTGAAAATGGTCCAGATCTCCTCGATTGTTGATGGGTTAACATCAGTCGGTAAGTCTATGGGCGCTGTGAAAAAGTTCAATAAAGACAGTGGACACGAAAATAGTAATATGCGCCGCACTGTCTAATTATTTGAAGTTCTTTTTATATAGTACTTGATGGATGTTATTTCACTGTTGACTTTCCCAAACAGTTATTATTCTTATTACAACTAGTTCACCTGTCATCACTACCAATTCATAGTTATTATGTTTATTCACGTAACCTATTTCACTGTTGTCAGTGGCTCGTAAGTTACTCTGATTGGTTATATATATTTTAAAATATGCATATAAATGCTAATGTATTGGATTAACCTAATGAGAATCTAACTGGAGATATTATTGTTCGTGCATATGCATTGTTTTAAAACTGTATTCAATCAGTTAGCGATTAGTACGATATGCTTGCTTCATCCCTGAAAAACAATAACACATACAGATGCTTGCTCTTACACTCAGTGGTTAGGTCCTAATAATCAAAGTATTAATAACCCTGCCGATACATCTAAACTTAGATCTGTATCTCATCTCTTCTACAGTTAAATATTCGATGGTAATCAATTCAAAGACCTTTTTTTAATCATACCAATCCTTCGGTCAGCGTGTTAAGAAATCCCTTACGCTTCCTGATCAAGTGGAATGATCAACACTCGATCCTGACCTTATGGAACTAGGTTCTATTTTTAGCTTACTTGAGTCTGAAATTCGAAGCTAAAAGATTCGTCCTCTTGATTCTCATACAGAAATTGTCGCTAAATCTCGACTAACTAGTCCAAGTGTTACCAAAGGACCATCGATTATCCCTTACTTATGGCAGGTTTCTAATAACCATGTGTAAATAGCTGTCAACAAATGCTCAACGCTGACATCATATTTGTAATTTTCATTGAATTCATGAACGATATGAAGCAAAAGCAGCTGAAATGAGAACCTATGAGATATCTAAAGAACCACAAAACTCATTCAAGTTTATGCTTAACTATAAAATGCAGTTTACGCATCTCATCTGAATGTGGAATAAAAAAATACCTATTTTTGTTGATGAAACAATATTCACACATATATTTACAGGCAATCTAAAAACAAATTTGACTTTGTAATTAATCTAGCGATTGCGTTCAAAGGGTGTGGTTTTACTTTTGGTACCCAACGTTTTGCGAGCACGTGGGCATTTGTCTCGCCGACGTTCAATCTCATGAAATAAATAGCCCTCCGGCTAAAATCAAATAATCACAAAAATAGGATAAGGTTACACACAAATAATGACACGACCACAGTACAAATGAAGATATGTTATAAATGTGAGTCTAATTACATATAGATGCTACACGATAACCAGGTCAACCACACATCCTTGCGGATAATGCTGTTTCAACGTGAATACTCAGTCTGCTCAACAACTGTGCCTAGAAAGCAGCCACTAGGATACGACGATGCAGTGTCTAGTCTTGTGTGAGAAAGTTTATTGTTGGTTTAAGTACTTGGTGCACTTGCTTTGGTTTACGCAACTGGGTAATACAGCTAGTCTCATAAGCGCATAGTTTCAAGTGAAACGCAACTAGGTATAAGTGCTTATTAATATGTTTTTTTAAAGATCTAATCAACGTTTCTATACGTTGCTGGCTCAAAAGATTCCGTGCAAAAGCTTTACTATGCACAAATTAGCGAAGTCGGTTACAACGTAGAGCTCCGTACGTTTGACATCAGTCCAAGTTGCCATACCACACTAGCACAGAGACGCAATTGTCAATTCAAATTATCAAATGAAACTACAATATTGGGTTACGAAAACGTTGATAGTATTTCAGAGGATACTTCCGCGCTTCATTTAACTGTACGTTGTAGATGTAAGCGATAGGTTACTTAATTGTAGATCTTAAAAGTTGTCTTAGTGGTTCGCAATATGCCACATAAGCACATTAAGAATTTATCGATTAGCACTAGTCTACGCTAGGTGATCTCTAACAGTAAATCTTAGATCTTAGTTTTTATGCTTGACTATCAATGAACAATAGCAAAGGTTTGATTATTTCCAAAAATCACGAGAAGCAGCAATCCCGCAAGTGCTGTAGATAGGCGAGTCTTAAGACGAGCCTACACACTGACCACCAATATATATCAGCTACCCTGGCAATAGAAGTAATTAGTCGCTTCAATAATAAACTACGAACCAGACGTCAGTACAGATCGATTTCGAAAAAAAAAACATTTATTGTAAATAAAAATTTTCTATCATCATTTTGCGTTTTCGCTCTAGACAGCAGTATGTAAAAAATGAGCTGGTTCAATGTTTTAATAACTAAAGGATTCTTAACCAACTGTACAAATCAATAGTTACAACCAATTAAAAGAAAGACTAGTTATAATTAATCATTGGGTTTTGTCATGAAGTTTGATCATTTTCTTTCCACGTACATTCATTTATTTGGAGTTAGCATCACCGTTAATTTATCATAAGTTCCAGTTTATCATAACGGAGGACTTATCTACTAGGCTCTTAAAATAGTCATTTTAATGGCTTCTCAGGGTGAGACAGTAGGTTTATTTGATTATGGCCTTATTTTATTACACTAATAGCAACTTGTTCTGGCAAGAGAAATGAGTACATTTATTTGTGCTCCTGCTTAATATTAGCCTAAATATTGCTTGGGATCTCACTAGGTAAACAGTGATTGAAGGTAGAATACCATAAACAATAGCTTATTGCATGAACATAAATGTAGAGAAATAATAGCTGGTGTGAGGATAGGCTGTCAATGACTTCGTCGGAGCCACGTTAGTAGGTACTGTTTAATTGGTTAGGACCTGCACATTTATTGCGATCAATGCTTACGGACAAAATAGACACATTCGCTGTTCATCTCCTGTTTCTAGGTCTAAAAATTTGTAAATATTTTCATCCTTTGAATATACTTCGCTCGAAGTACTTCATTTATTTCAAATCGTCTTACTATAACTGACCCTACTACTTCAGTAGTATTCTTGTTGATTTTACATAGTGCTGACGTGATAACAGTAACAAAATGTGTAGTTTCATAAGTATTAAGTTCATAATCACACATTTACAAAACTGACTTACACACAACTTTCTTAATGAGGATGATATCTCACTGGGCAATTGGAATGGGATATTCAGATCAACTTTCTTCAGTTTACTGCGGATCTCGTTTTTAGCTTTGATTGCTGACTTTCGCTTTTCCTTGGCTTTCTTTTCACGCTTGATTTCCTTTAGTAACTTAGGTAAACTGAAAAAGTGGTCATATTATTCAGACGTACTTCTCAAGATCGTTCTTCATTTTTTTATGAGGATCTTTTTTCTTAAGCTTTCTTCGAGGTATAGAAACGATGTCAATGTCTTCATCATTTTTCGCAACATGATACTCTGTATTCAATGTATTCAAAAACACTTTCATTTCTTTTAGGGGGTTTGGTGTCTAAAAATATCGGGTAAAACATTATTCTTACCAATTTAGCACCTTTAAGACTGTTAATATACCGCTCTGTTTTCAGTTCGCGTTTTTGTTTCGCAGACTCAATAGTTTTTAGTCGTGAAATAAGGGATAAATGGTCTTGCAAAGTCGGATTGTATGATTGGCCTGCACTAGGTAATGAAGGATTCCATAAGTACTTATCAGCTATGCCTTTTTGAATACATCCTTTTTCAGGAGACATTATTAAAGCCGGTGCATCTAAACGTTACTGTGTGAACATAAGTTGAACAACCTTCCCAGATATCGACTCCTACAGCCCTTTTCTTTTCAAGTACAGGTCGTGAAGTATGAAACCTCCCATCGCGCGCACTGGGGATTTCGTGGAAGAGTTTCGCGGAATTCTTGTCTCCTTTTACAAAGCAGTCTAAAATTACAGTTGGCAGGTACATCTCGTCACTCACTTTTCTTGCTTAGTGTTGACACTTCTGCGAACTCCTGATCGATTCTGAAGCAACTGCTGGTTACGAAATGGAGTAACTTACATTCTTTTGTGATGAAGAGCGTCTTGAAGTTTCGACTCGACATCTTTGTAGCAGTACTGCCACCGCCTCTTTTTGTTTTTTCCAAGACGTTTCATTTGACGGAACCACTCTGAAAATTAATTGCGATGATGACCTGTGACGACTTTTAGTGCTTCGTTTGGTCTGAATGTATCTTGTGTGCTAAGGAGTGAAGAGCAGTATGTGAGCTACAGGATGTGGAAGAGAAAATAAGGCAAAAATGATTTATCAACGCACTAAGCACGTAAATGATTTTAATTCTTAAACTGGAATATATCAACAACATACAGATGTATCACATGCCTACAGTTAAAACGTCTTGAAAGTCGAACTTACCAGATTCGGACGTGTGACAGACCTTCAATATCCAATATCTTTTTCACAAGCTAGCGTAAACCAATTGATTTCTTAGCACTCGATACTTGTCCTTTCAGTATGGTTCCAGGTCTTTGGTAATGTCCAGTAGATGGGGTCTAGCTACTCGACTGTACTAATTTTAGTCGGTTGTCCATTATATTTGAATTTGCATGTTCCGTGATTTGAATGAGTACGTTTGTTTCAGGGTAGTAGGGTTTTTAGATACCAACAGCTATAATGTTACCAGGTGGAAGATCAGCTAGTTGCAATGTGGAGGATAATAAGGATAAAAGTCTAGTGCTAATTTGAATAAAATTTCAGAACCAAGTAAATAAACAGATAATTTAGTTTATTGATTGATAGTGAAGAACCGAGGTGTAAGCAAGGGAGAGGGGACAGAGACAGTAGGTGAGATAGATTAAGTTAGTGATCTGAGGAGATGGCAATAATAACAACCAGTAAGTTTCAAGACATGCATCAGCACAGTTTTTCCAAGAGGGAGATGATAATCTGTATGTGAGTATGTGTTTATCGAGTCTTCTGAAAGCTGTCCACCGAGGAGGCTGTGGTCACCTCTGCTATGAGAGCATTCCAAGTTGCAACAATTCTTAATGAGAATGAGTGTGCACGAACCTGAGTGTCCGCTTGTTGATGCGCAATTTTTCGAGGATTGCCTCGAGAGGATTGGTGGTGATGCATCGGTAAGGTGCTCACGTTGGTATGGTTTGGTGGGCTTAAAATGTTGTGCGCCATCACATGTAGAATCCATTTTAAAGGCTTCGCTTTTGAGAAATTCTCTCCATGTATATATTTGTGTTGTGATCTTGTCGACTCTTTCTGTTCAATATTTTGATACTCAGTTTAGTCCCAATTTGGGATGTTAATATTTGTATTTCGTTATAATTCCTATTTTATGTACTGTTAATAGGGTTAATATGTTTCCTTCTAAACTGTAAATATTTTGTTTAAATTGATACCTAATATGGCTTCAGCGATATCGGATTTGATACCTCTGCGGTAACTTCGCATACTTGACTGAAAGGACGCATTCTTCCAGAATTGGATACTAATTGGGTTAATTTCGGATCGGAACAGAAATATGTTGTTTAGGTAATTGTCTATATTCCTTTTTTTAATTAATAATAGAACTGTTCCTACCCAGAAAACTTGTGTTTTAATTGGGCTGGGCAAGGCACGTATCTGACTTCTAACTGTTTCCTGAATCAAGGTTCACAGAATTGAATCTTCTACATCACCTATGATTCTCCTGTAACTCAGAGATCATAATCTCAAGTGCTGGAGTCTCTCTTCGTACGGTTTGTTCTTCAGCTCTATCACTCATTTCGTTGCATTTCTGCAGTCGATCCACGAGGTTTATGTTTCTTTTAAGTTGGGGCGTTGGACAACATTTTGAACCTCAAGATGTGGGCGTACATATTTCTTAAACAGCGTTAAGAATACTCCGGGTTTGACGGCACCACATTGTCGTCGCATGAAGTGACGAGTTGCATTTAACTTGGCTGCGTCCCCTATGTTGTTCGAGCTGATAGGGAGGCTTTCAGTAGTTATTTAACCGAGATCGCGCTGTGGGTAGACATTAGGGAGCGTACTTCCATTGAGGGTGTTAATTGGTTGTGTCATATTACTCTTAATGAAGCGCCTTATGCTTTTGTCAAGTAACCAGACATTTTCAGGTAAAATGATACAGCTTGATGTCTTTCGTAGCTCTATTTCTTTCATAAGTCTTCGTATGCAATTCATCCTCGAGGAAGCTTATCGCGTCGCTTATATACCATACGCCAACTCGTTGAAAATTTTCTGTTAGGGAAAAAGTTATTTATAGGTTTCTTTGAATCTTCGTTGCAATGGCACAAGAGCAGCGTGGTCTTAAAAGTATTCCATCATTGACTTCATCTACATCTACTAATGTTATCCGTTATCCAACGTTCATGTGCAGAGATTATGAGAAGGTGGACATTAAGCTTGAGGGGGCATGTGGTTCGAAATCAGCATCATTTTCATGTCAGTGAAGGCTTACCGTTAACTCTACCACCTATGAACATCAACCTTGTGATGTACTGAAAGGGACGATTCTGAGAGAAGCCGATGTAAAACTGACATCTGTACCCATAAACTAAAAAGATAAATAAGCCTGCTAACCCGATGCCGTATTACCAACTGCCACTCTACACAGCAGTCGGAAAATTTAGTAATCCTCCCTTTTGATTACTGTTTGAAAAATGCTATCGGACAGATAGACTAACATTTATTCCTCCACAATTAGTTTAAACAGCTTGTTTATCTTAACCACAAACTATTATCGTCAATCGAAAGAATTTAATCTACATGTACTAGTTCAATGTACTATATTCCACCTTTATTTTTGACACAACAACAACACAACACGATATTTTCCCAAACTGAACTACTGAAGGCAGGTAGCCAGGCAACAGTTAGCCTTTAGAAATGCCTCACTTATGAGTAAACATCGCCTGTACACCCGTCGAGGCTACTGCCAGTCCCAAGCCCGGATAAAGGAGGAGGAGGTTTGGCATGGGGTTGCAGTCCCCATCCCACCAAAAAACTAACTTGCTAAAGTAATGCTGACCAGAAAATCTAGTTCAAACATTTTTAACTCTGCCCTGGGAGTTGCAAGAAGAATTATGACATCGCGTGATGAAAGCCGAGTTCCATCGGAAGTCACGGGGTCGATGCCTCTTCTGACAACCAGAGTAACCATTCTTTTAGGAACATGGAACGCTCGAACATTGTGGGAGACTTGAAGACTATTTCAAGTTGCAGCAGAAATGAGAAGATACAACCTGGAGGTGCTCGGCTAGCTGCAGGGGAACTGTTGTTATACTCTGGTCATGAAGAGGAAAATGCTTCACTGATGCTGTCCAAACAAACACAAAAGGCACTGATAGGATGGGAATCTCATGGACCCAGGATCATTAAAGCATCCTTCAAAACAAAGAAACAGGACATTACAATGAACGTCATCCAATGCTATGTACCTACCAATGACTACAATGACGACGTTAAAGATCAATTCTACGAAAGGCTGCAGTCAATCGTCGATAGATGCTCACCAAAGGATTTGACCATCCTGATGGGAGATCTGAATGCAATAGTTGGCGTGGACGACACTGGATATGAAGACATCATGGGAAGACATGGACTGGGAGAAAGGAACGAAAGTGGTAAGAGATTGGTAAACCTATGCGCCTTCAACAAACTGGTCATCAGCAGCACAATATTCCCGCACAAACGCATACACAAAGCTACATGGATTTCAACGGACCACACTACTCAGAACCAAATCGACCATATCTGTATCAACGAAAAGTTCAGAAGAACCATGGAGTATGTGAGGACGAAGAGAGGAGCTGATATATTCTCAGACCAACACTTGCTGGTCGCTAAAATAAAACTGAAACTCAAGAAACACTAGATAACGGGGCAGACAACATCACACAAGTTTAATACGGCCTTTCTTCAGGATACTGTACAGCTCAACGAATTCAAAATAGCTCTCAGAAATTGATACAGTTGTACGATACAACAAAGAAGTTCTCTGGGAATTTTCGTAAACCAGAACAAGCAGTAAAAAGCAAGGAAGCGAAAGTAATCAGCAACATTGAAGAGCAGTGAAGCAGGTGGGTAGAGCACTTTGAAGAACTCTTGAATCGATTAGCTCCACTGAACACACCCAACCAGCGTCTACGGACCTCCCAGTCGATGTTGGCCCACCAACAACTGAAGAGATCAGTATGGCCATCAGACAAATCAAGAGCGGTAAAGCAGCAGGACCAGACAACATTCCAGCAGAGGCAATGAAAGCAGATGTAGAATCAACTGCGAAAATATTTCACATTCTCTTCAAGAAGATTTGGGATGAGGAACAAGTACCATCAGATTGGAAAGAAGGATACCTCATCAAAATACCAAAGAAAGGCGATCTCAGCAAGTATGAGAACTACAGAGGCATCACTCTTCTCTCACTACCAGGAAAAGTCTTCAACAGGGTATCGTTAAACTGGACCGATTGCGCACTGACCAAATCGCAACATTACGGATCATTGTGGAACAATCAATTGAATGGAATTCACCACTCTACATCAACTTCATCGACTACGAGAAAGCATTCGGTAGCTTGGATAGGAAAACACTGTGGAGGCTTCTTCGACACTACGGTGTGCCTGAGAAAATAGTTAACATCATACGGAATTCTTATGATGGATTCAACTGCAAAATCGTACACGATGGACAGCTAACAGACTCGTTCGAGGTGAAGACCGGTGTCAGGCAAGGTTGCTTACTCTCACCCTTTCTCTTTCTCCTGGTCATCGACTGGATTATGAAGACGTCGACATCTGGAGGGAAGCACGGTATTAACTGGACAGTTTGGACGCAGCTGGACGATCTGGACTTCGCAGATGATCTGGCTCTTATATCGCACACGCAACAACAAATGCAAGAGAAGACGACCAGTGTGGCAGCAGCCTCTGCAGCATCAGGTCTCCACATACATAAAGGCAAAAGCCAAATTCTCCGATGCAACACAGCATGCACCAACCAAATCACTCTTGATGGAGATGCCTTAGAGGACGTTAACACCTTTACATATCTGGGCAGCATCATCTACAACCAAGGTGGATCCAATGCAGATGTGAGGGTGCGGATCGGCAAAGCAAGGGCTGCATTTCTACAGTTGAAAAATATCTGGAACTCCAAACAACTTTCAACCAAAACCAAAATCAGGATTTTCAATACAAATGTCGAGACAGTTCTATTGTATGGAGCGGAAACTTGGAGAACTACCAAAGCCATCATCCAGAAGATGCAAGTGTTGATTAACAGTTGTCTTCGCAAAATACTTCGGATCCGTTGGCCAGACACCATCAGCAACAACGTACTGTGTGAGTGAACAAACCAGATTCCAGTGGAGGAGGAAATCAGGAAGAAGCGGTGGAAGTGGGTAGGACACACATTGCGGAAAGCACCTAACTGCGTCACGAGACAAGCCCTCACATGGAACCCTCAAGGCAAAAGGAAAAGAGGAAGGCCAAAGAACACATTACGGTGAGAAATAGAGAAAGATATGAGAGGAATGATCGAAAATTGGACAGAATCAGAAAGGGAAGCCCAGGACAGAGTTGGTTGGAGAAAACTGGTGGGTGGCGTAT